CCAATCATTAATAAAATACTTTCTATTCATCCATTCAAGTTCAAATACATTTTTTTAAACTTATAGTGGATGATACGATGTTAATACAGATTTTTCAAATATTAATTCATTAATTAAATTAAAAAATTAATAAATAGTAATAAACAAAAGTAATAGTACAACAGCATATATAGAAAGGAAAATCGTTCGTTGTGTCTCTGAAGTGCAATGGATAGCGCGTTGGACTTCTAATTCAAAGTTCGTGGGCTCGAATCCCACCTGGGATGACCTATTTTTTGAGAACGTGATTTCTTTTTTACTATATACTATTTTATTAGAATAATTAAATTTAATTAATGAATAAATAGTAACAAACAAACAAAAAATAGTCCAACGCCATATATAGAAAGGAAAATGGAGAATTGCAAGGAAAATCGCTTTCTATTTTGCCACTTAATATTGTGATTCTGTGTCATATGTATATGCATGTTTATATTATTTGTAACTATTTAATAAAAAGTAAAATAAAATTTTTCTTTGTTGATCTAAGTAGGAATTGACTTTAAATTTTTTTTTTAATATTACTTGTTTAAAAAATTTAACCCTAACCATCCTAGTGGTATGCGAACGTCACTCAGAAGCGTACACATATCTGTCTTATAAAGGAGGGGGTTACATTCTAAAAAGTACGTGGACGAAAGCGTCAAACGGGTTAATCTCTATGATAAAAATTAAAAATCTGTTGGTCTATGGGCAGGATTTGAGTCCCCCTAACCTGGGACTTAGCTACCACCGTATATCAGTGATACGGGGCCCCCAAGCTACAGGGGCCCCAACATGTGTGATTACAATCCTACTAACAAGACACTCATACCTAAAAAAAGGCCTCGAATGAATTTTGATTCTGGGCTCAGTCAGAACTAGCTACGCCATTGCCCCTAACCCACGCCACTGATGCCACTTGTATTAACATGCTTTAGTTAAGTCAAAATACAATAATTAGTACCAAGTATTCTCGGGGTGGGGATGGGATATTAACAACCATTTGGCGCGCGCTTAGAACCACAAAAAATAAATGCGAAAATAGTGAAGGGAAATATAACTACATAGATACGACAAGTACGTGAGTATTTTCAGCATATTATTTATTTTTTTTTCGTATTACGTACATTATTTATACACAGATTGAATTTTTGTGTTTATCTATTATTTGTACGAAAATAGCCTTGAAAAACATAAAACTTATTTACGACTAGTTTGCGTTACGACCTGGTAGTCAGAACGGAACTCTTTCGTTAAGTTTAAAAAAAAAACCCGTACAAAAATAATACAAGTGCCCCAAACTTGATCCTTCTCCGTTTCATCATGCTAAAATAACTTTAACTAAATCGAAATTTTCCCAACTGGAACCATCATCATAAACAAGATCTTCTCTAACTACTTACAAAAAAACTCTTCGCATAATCTACTTTACTGCTGTGCATATTCCAGCCAGATCCTCATTACCAGGAAAAGAAGAAAAGAATATGATGAGCTGAAGTGCTCATCTTCTGCGAAGCGGAAAACATTGGAACAAATCCGATGTTCTTTGATGGTCAAGGCCGCATCTGGAGAGAAAACCATAAATTGGTCCATTCCGCCCCTTCTTCCCTCTTGAACGCGTCAAAAGCCGATTTCCTCCACTCCAAATTGCAGTTCTTCATGCCCCACTTAAGTGCTCCTGGACCCGAAGGCCATTGACGAGATGATGCAGGTTGTCGGGTGGGTGAAGGCCAGATGGGTCGTTTTACTTTTCTACCCTGCACTGATTACCAACCCCTCTTTTGAAGTATGATCGGTGAGCGTAAATAAAATTTCAAAAAAAGTTCAACATTTGTACTGGTTGATGTTGTTTGATAATTTGTTTTTGACAATTTTGATGTTGCGATTCGATTTTTCTTCTTGTATATTTACTTCACTTTGTGTAGTGAACCTGTATTTGGGTTGTTGGGATGTAAAGAACAATTTTTTTAAATAAAAAACATTTTTTATTTCTTAGTCTTTCAATTACTGTCAACTTTTATTGAAGCTAGTGGCCACCGTAGCCAAGTGTCACGAACTCGTAGTAGGTGTGTCATGAATTCGAGTCTTGTGCCACAAAAACCCCACCGCTTACAGGCACTGGCGTAGATAGTTCTGGGCCCTGTATCAAAGTTCTTTGGAGGCCCTTTTTGGGGTCACATCTACATTTTACAATATTTTGCTTACACATATTGGGGCCCTTGTAGCTGGGGGCCCTGTATCATTGATACGGCTGATACAACGCTAGCTACACCCCTGCTTACAGGGAACCGATGTCAAGCCTCAGTGTCCTCCCGTTGGAGTGGTGTGGTAGAAAGGAGAGAGAGGTGCCAGCATAGGTTTCTTCTTCGTAACTTGAGCGAGGTTTAAAATTACGAGGTCCGTCGCCAAAAGCCCTCGTGTTGCTTTGAAATGCGACGTTTACGTTACTCTCACGCATTCACTTTGCAGTGATTCTCCGTTTGCGTTAGTGTGAGGGTTGGTGGAATGAAGAACTATATATTATAAAAAAAACATCTTTTATTTCTTGGCTTTTCAATTACTATCAACTTTCATTGATGCTAATGGGGAGCGAGTCAGTTTCGGCCTACTCTAAATATTATTATGTAAAAAGATACTTATCATTAAATGCATATATTCAGCTTGATTCCTTGATCTTGCGCCACGAGGTTTTAAACCCTTTTTCTGGGTGAACTGTGATTAATTTCAATTACCGTAAATTCGGCGTTTAGCGCGCACCTATACTATTTCCAAGCTGTAATTTTAATTTTTAGGTATATTTAGGTATTAATTTAGGTAACGCGCACCCCCTTTTTTTTTAACGAAGAAACCAGAAATGTACGTGCGCAATGTTCTTATGTTTCGAAGTCCCTTATTCGAGGTATTACTCCAAGCTTTAAGAAAAAATAGTATACTTCTAGAACTACAACCCTTCAAGTTTACAAGGAATGCCATTTCTTTTAAATAAACAGTGTTTCTCTCTATATATAAGTCTAATTTTTTTGTCTATGCTCATCTTTCATAATTTTTAAAGTTCTCATTTTTATACCTGGAGTATAAAGCGCACCCGTAAATTTCGAGCTTATTTTTTTGTGTTAAAAGAGCGCTTTGTACATTGGATTTCACGGTACTTAAAAATATCTATTAGAGGAATTTATATGTATCTCTCTATATATGCATCTCTAATCGCTGAACAGTACTTGTATGGCTTTAACACAGCGTTTCTCAAACTGTAGGGCGCGCCTCCCTAAGGGGGCGTGATAACTCTAGGAGGGGGGCGCGAGCATATTGAAAAGTCGAAAACAAGAGATTATTTTAAAACAAATTATAAATTTTCAGAAAGTTAGCAAACGAAATACATTCTAACATAATAAAAAATGAAATACAAATTTATACTGATATATAAAATACATTGTGCAGTACTGATATATTCATAACTAATTTGACGGTACTAAGTTAAGAACAAGTTCAATAATTACCAATGACCCCATGGGCTTGTCATATATAAAATTATATACAAAAATTAACACTTATCTTGATAATTTGTACTGCTTATAATTTATCCCTTAACTGCCGATTAAAAGTTACGTGATTCGCTCCACAAAGCCACCGTTTTTTAACACGTAGGCGAGTGCATGGGGTGCATTGGTGGAGAGAAAATTAAAAAATAATCAAATCCTTTGTGTGAAACAAGTGAATCCTTCGCAAACACTGTCAAGGCCCTATTATTGCATTCCAAAGTCTTCGGAATAATTTTATGGATAGCAGTACAGAGAAAAAATCATACTTCGGAAAGACGTATGTATACGTCCGGGACAATTAACGTTTTGGCTGAGTGAGACGTTTATATACACCGGTGGCACTTAAGAGGTTAAAGTCGTATTGTAGCTTTAGCGTCAAAGTATAGAATTCAATACATTATATTTATGTGCAGGGGGGCGCGATGAAAATTATGATTGGATATTGGGTCGCAAGTATTAAAACTTTGAGAAGCACTACTTTAACATGATTAGTGTGGATATAAATTTCCCCATTTGATTGACATTACGTCCTCTAAAGGTGATAAAGAACTGAAGAATTTTAAAATTAATATGCATGATAGCAGGGGCGTAGCTTCACCGTATCCATGATACGGGGCCCACAAGCTACAGGGTAACTACGGTCCCACTAACAGGACTCCCATGTCTAAAAAAAGGGCCCGAAGGAATTTTAATACAGGGTTCCCTCAGAGCTACGCTAGTGCATAATAGTAAGGTGGCCAATCGTCCTCCTTTAGGGAGGACACTTCTCCTTTTATAGATTCTGTCCTTCCTTTAAAAAATGTCCTCCTATTTGTCCTCCTTTTCAATATTTTAAAACTAATCTGGTAATCTTTATTCAGAGATGAAGGCCGAACTGTTACGCGTCTGTTTGAAGAAATTAGAATACTAAATGTATATATTTAAATTCTGATAAATTAGAACAATGGGAAAATCAACATGTTGAAATTAATAAAAGATGGGTGGAAATTTTTATCATTTCAAAAAGGAACGCATTCCATATGAAAATTCAGTTATTCTTGTTGAATTTACATTGGGCTGCCCTGGAACTAATGCAGCACAGTTTTTTTCAATTGGTAATGATTTTTGAACAAATAAGAAATCAAGGTTGAATGTTGATACTTTAGCTGCAGCACCTACCGTAAAGTTCAATATGAAGGATATTTCTTGTTCCAAAATTTCCGATGTATTATTAGAAAATGATATGCTGACAAAAAAAAAAAAATCTTTCATTGGGAAAATACTCATTTAAGTAAATAATTAAAAGTGATGTAAGCATAATTAGTGTACTTCTGTTTGAGTTAATAAAATGTTTCATATAGTTATGTTGTGTAATTTTTTCTTAAATTTTTCGTCCTCCTTTTCATTGTAAAAAAATTGGTCACCTTAATAGTAGTAAAGATTTTCTTAAATAATTTGTTACATTAAGTCTATTTAACAAAATGTACCATTTGATGTAATATTAATCAACACTATACACAAATAACTTGATGTGACCTTTAAGGATAAGAAAATGCTCTGGAATATATAGCTTTCAAAAGAGAGGAAAATACAAACCGAATGAAGAAAAAATTTAAGTCATCACCCACTTTGGAAGAAAAAATAAACACGCAGAAATAAACACCCGAGTCATAAATCACCGCCAGAAAGCCAAATCATCATTAATAACTCCTGACACTGATGACTCG